ATTAAACAAATGCATTGTAGTATCCACGGACTGACCGCGTCACGCTATGATAGCCGTGAAGAAATTAGAATGCGCAAACCTATGAAGAGTTGACACAAAATATAAGTGAGACACTTGACATTTATGTATGACATATACAATAAATTAACGAAACGTTTTCTTGTCAGTTAATGCTTAGAAAAATCTTTTTTTTTATAAATTTCCACTTTTATAAAATCCACTTATATCTCAGAAAACTTATACGTCAAATTATACAAGTATTATTATTGACTACGTTTACACGGCTCGATTTACGCCGAAGATTTACATCGATGTTATGAAACTGACCAGTCACAGTCATTCCATTGTTCAGAGGAGTAGCTATAATTGTTCAGTTTTATACCATCGATGTTATCACTTTGGAGTAAATCAAGCCGTGTAAATATAGTTATTATCTTTTTTGCCACATTTTGTTTACAAAAGTTTTTATCATTCGTTCTGTTAATTCTAGACAGTACACGATTTTTTTATGTGACAGATTTCAAACATTACGTGTTGAGAAAGATTTCTAAAAATATCTTGTGCGAGTTTTTTCGTCACGAATTCTGAATTTCTCATGGAACAGCGTTGGATACGGGGAATTACTCGTGCGCCATTACGAGCTGTGGTTCGTTTGCAGAGCTTCTCAACGATGCAGACAGTGCATTCGACTGCAACCGGCCACGAGTCCCCAGGAGGGATGCAACACCAGCTTATCTACGCGCCAGTTTGGAAATCTCAGCGTGGAGATGCGATACGTCTGGAGGGAAGGCTGGTAGACGTCACGTGAGGAAAGAGTAAGAGAGAGATGGTTAAAGAAGGAGAGGAAGGAGGGGGGAGAGAGAGAGAGAGAGAGAGACGAACGAGGCGTGAGAAGCAGGGATGTACACGAAGCTGAAGCCAGAGTAGAACCAAAAGGATGAAGGAGAGAGGGAGAGGATAAGGTCGCTTCAACCTCTCGGCATCCCACGAGGCCTCTGGTGTAATTAAGCGAGTGCACCCTCACATGTCTACGTACGTTCGCATCATGTCTATCCATCTAACCGTGGTAGGGTTGTTCTCTTCGTCGACTCGTCGTCCCTTATGCCAAGGGTCGAGAGATAAGGCTGCAAAAACCTTTGAAACCTCGGTACATCCTTCGTGCCTACATCTTGTAGTCTCACACCAGCGAATTTTAAAATGCGCGTGTTGAGAAATACAACGTATCCACGGGGAGATGTGATGGCCACTTCCATCAGCATATTGTTAGATTGTGCATTATGCCGTGCTTCTTTATTTCGTAGTAATTAAATGTGAGGTCACGTGTGATTTGCGAAAGCAAGTTTGTTATTGGAATTTCGATAAAACCGTTGTTTTATGAATCTGCGAAAATTTGAAGAAACGCTCGCAACATAAAGAATAAAGAATAACTGAATATTAGTCGAAATCGCGAATATCGCGTATACACTTGTGAAGACTTTCTCCTTTGATATGACATTTGGAAACTATAATTGAAGCAAAGGCAGTGAACGAATATTACGGAGGACCGTGCACACGTTCGCGTGTACGTTATATGGTAATGGAGGGCCAATCATGCGGTAACTAGCCACCCTGGGGAGACGGTCAGAACTGCCACCCGGCGGTCAGCTCCCGTCAATGTGTCACTTACGTAGCCGGAATAGCGAACCCTCCCGATAGAGCATTACTACTGAACGTGTTTTCCCCTCGATTGCAAGTACTGTCAGTTTCCTGTCTGGAACATTCTGTCCGCGCGTTTTAAAAAGCTGCGAAATCGCCTCAAGCTTTTATAAACTGCAAGAAATTAAATTTTTTTTATTCTCCTGTTTAAAATTTTGGAACCGTAAGTAATTTTCAAAATATAAATATTTCCCGTTAATGTATAGAATATTATAAATAAAATATCAACTTAAAGATACATATATCTTTTCAGATATATTTTAGAACTCCAAAAATAAGATTATAATTTTTTCACGAAAACTATCGAAGAACGACCGACATCGTCCGGGGGTGTCGTTCGACCGAGCGGATGAAAGGTTCGTCGAGGCGCGAAACTGCGTTAGAACTCGCATTAAAAGTTGGCGGATACGACGAGGACAAGCTGGACGAATAGAAGGGTCGAGGAAGCACAAAGTGATGCGAGTGTGGTGGCCAATTCTTGATTCGGTGTTGTGAACGACTTGACGAAGGTGTGCACAAAACTGCCGCAACCACCACTACCATCACCACCACCATCACGATCAACAACAACGGCAGTAGCAACGCAAACGTTCACGTTCTATCACCGATGATACGGATGTACAATACCACCTTCGCCATCGGTCGAGCCAAGAGTGTATGGAGTGCCGCGAGTGAGCGAGCGAGAGAGACCAGGAAACAGGGCGATAAATAACTACAGGATGAAAAAGGGGGCGCGGTACCCTCCCGGGGCCCCTAAACCTAGACTACACACCCCTCGCCATCCCTTGCCATTCCGCGCCGCACCAGCTTCGTATAAACCGCGCGCACGGGCCCGACCCCGACAATTATACCCTCGCACGCGAAATGTTTTATTACCCTGACGTAGAATGCTTGCGTACGACGAGAGTGGTTGGTATCTGTGTATGTGTACATGTCTATGTATCGATGCATCCCTCCGTGTACGCGCATGCATTGCTATTGTCCGGACGCAGTATGGAAACACCTGACAGTACGTGCCCTACTTTTCTAACTTTAAAATCTGTCAAATAAAGCGACATTTCTCGCTATGGAGATTTAAATGTAATAATCATAAAATCAATTTTGTTTTCGAACAAACGTTAACTCTAAGAAATATACGACACTTGCATAGTAAGTGTTTCGACGGAGCGCATTTATGTGCTAATAGCGAAATAATGTAGCTTACGCTTGTTGGAACTCTTAAGGGAGACACGAGCCTTTGAGAGTGAAACCGGCTAATTACGAAGCAAGCACCCGGTAAAGTCTTCTACCTTGGACTACAACCTCGGAGGGATATACGAGGTTGGCAGTGCTTGAGGGGATCCACTACTCCCAAAACGTGCACCGGATGACGCTTGATCTTTCGGCTAATTCTGTAATCCGGGACGGCACTACCTGCTAACTGCTCACTAAATCGAGGATCCAATCTTCTCCGCTATCTTCGCTCTTTACCACGACAAATGGTCAGCGACAGTGTCTAAGTGATACTTCAAATAGAACATGATTTTAGTAAAATTAAGTTTTCTATTGTTACATTATAATATAAAAATAATATAAAAATAGTTTTCTATATTATACAAGATAAATTTTTTTTTAGATACACAAAAACTAAACAAAAATTTTGTAAATAAAAATTATAGAGTTATTTTTCTTTTTCTATTTTCTATTTGAAATTGTAAAAATTATAGAGTTTAAATAATTCCGCCCTTCTTGTTTCTACACTTTTGCATTTCTATAAGATATTAAATTTTTAAAATTTAAAAAGGTTACTTTTCTTGAGTAGTATACTAATACAATGGCATAATGTTATCGTGAAATTTCCAAGACATGTCCTGCATATAAATTGACCGTTAATTACTGAAAAATGAGCAAGCTGACAGCGCACCTATTTACTATCCCTGCATTCATCCCATGAGCCGAGTCAGCCCTTAGTCTTTGGTTAATCGGGTTAAATTAACTCAGTTAGCGTACGGCTGTTATGCCCTCGTAGTTAGCGACTTGTTATCCCGAATCAGGCTTCTCGTCAGAAACATTCACGCAAAGTTCACTACGTCATGATATCATGTATAAAATATGAAAATGGATTGTGACGAAAAGATGATTACAAATATTAAGTTAATATTTTTCGATAAAATTAATAATTTTATTATTGCGAAATTATGAGAAATTAATACAAAACTTTAAATACGAATACTAAAAATTTTACTTGTCACATAAGGCTAACATTTATATAAAAATATTTCTACCTATCTCTCTTTTCGCTAAAATATATTTTAAGGCCTTAACAGTTCAATGGAGAATTTCCGAGAAACAATACAGAAAACTCTCTTTGCTTCTGCTCATTTATCGGTTCGAATCGCAGCATCGATTTTTAAATTGCGTAATAAATAAAATTAGCAAGGAGGGTGACTTCCGTGGTGGGCAAAGGGGCCGTAATTGTAACTTCATCAGGGCAACTTCCCTCAACTTAATAAAGCTGTCTCAATTTTCGCCTCATTACCGAAACTCGTGCGAAATTTTCTTGTTTAATTTATGTATACTATATATACGACAAACGCAATATTATTAGTTGTTATTTACGTAAAGAAATGTGAATTTTGTAAATTTATGTCAATTACAATATTATTTCCAATTTATTTTCGTGTTTAGCGTGCTACTGTTTTTGTTGCAGACGAAACGTTTCATTATTTCACGAAAAATTACGACTGCGCTGCGTAATAGGTCCAGTACATCACACAGCTTGCGCGAAAAAATAACATTGGTTCTCTAGATTTATGACTTTTATCAACATGAATGGCTCAAATATTGATAGAAAAGAATATTCTAACTTCAAGACTAAATCTATAAAGAAGCAATGGAATAAAAATTTGTTTGGAATATTGCTCTCAATTAAACTCTCAATATTATTTTAGAGGTTTAAATGCAAGAAAATAAATTATATATAATAATAATTAGACGATATAGCTTCGACTTTTTATATTTAACGTTAATTGCAGCAATTTTTCGAACTTCTTTTATGTGTCATAATTAAGAAATATTTCTAACACATACATACATTTTGAAAGAAAATAATTTACTATTACTTCACTATTACTTTAGCATTGTTACATTATTAACAATTTCATTGACATTGTATAATCATTTCTTTCATTTTCAATGTACGAAATGTTAATGTGTTTATTTGATGCATGCCTTGCACTGAACTTAAACACGTTTCCATAAACCGCGCGTAACGTCACGCATAATGTAACATGATTGCGTTGTGTACGTTTAGACATACCATTAGCATGGCGATTGACATATGCATCCCATTGACGACACTTGGGTTCGAGGATGCGGACGTACTCGTGCAGCGTCGCACAGGTAGAAGTGAGGGTAGAATAGTGGTATCCACTCTCATGTAACTAATCAACCGGCTGTCGAGCCAAATCGTCCCCTACTGAATCCCTCACAGACCCTCGAAAACAGAGAAATCCGGACGTACTGGTGCAAACAGAATGGCAAAGATGCTACGTATAAACGTGTGCGATACAGCTTTATTACGTAAGAATCAAGGAGACCTTCGTGCCCATCATATTCAAGAGCGGCGATAAAAAAAAGTGTACGAAAATGAAAATAAGAGAATTGTGTCGAACAAAGTAATTATGGAGTACGTTTTCGTAGGAAAAGGAAACGCTTGGTCGCACTGCCGAGCATTCCGCGAGGTAGAAGGCGAGGGTCGGAGTTGATAAAGAAATAAAGAATCGTGAAAGTTCGCGTCGAACCCCGCGTTCCCATGAGGCCTTATGACTTAAAGTCTCCTTACTCCGTTAATTCCGAACATTAACAAAAGTCCCGCTAAAACTCGCCGCCAACTTTCCCGATCTCTAGGGACCGAGCCGGACTTGTTAATGAAAAAAATACAATAAAACTCTTTCACGACGAAACTCGTCTCGAATTCTCGAGACTAGCCTGCTTGTGTTCTGCAAAGAGAACTCCTTCTTCCTTCTACGTTTCTTTGAATAAAATAATCAGTAATCATAGTCGAGTATCGTGTGTAACCTTCATGTCAAACCGAGCAAAATGACTGCTTTGTAAGCAATATTAAAAATAATTCATTTCTATAAATTTATTTGTTAATATAAACATTAATTAAATAAAAATTGCCGGAAAGATTGATGAAAAGATATCGGGAGTTATATTAGAATAAAGAGAAAGAATAATCTTCTTAAAAATTGGAATTGTGTAAGAAGTAACAAAAAGGTATCATCTTATACTCGCCCGTGTGTTTGTTCTCTAATAAAATGTAAATGCTCCAATGCCCATTTTTCCCCAACCATCACCAGACCGTTTCACGAGTAGATTTAAACTGCATATTCTTTCCGAAGAGCGCCAGGCTTAATACCGAAGTGTCGGTGTAAACCGCTTTATGCTGCCGCTTTATACCAACCGACCCCTTCGTTCCGCCACGAACGAGACCTCTTACTTATTCATTTATTCTGGCGAGATGAACTTTACGGAGATTTTAATGGCACTCTGACTTTCTTGATATTCGCACGTAGGTAGACCTTTGAAATTTCGTTGCTGGCGAATGATGTATGCAACGTAAAACAACCGTTTTGCTAGAGGATTTGACGCTATTCTTGCATACATATGTTTGCAACAGATTCGGTGAATATCTCGTAATTTATTAAACGGATTACTCCGGAAAATCAGATCCTATTTCACGTTCGTCGCGAGAATATAAAGGCAAACGTCTCACTAACTGACATGTGCGATTAATTATCAGCTGGCGTAATTATACGTATAGGAGGGTTCACAGAAGGAAGAGATTCAATAGGGAAAGTTTTAATGTGCAATGTTTGTTAATTTACTTTTGATAAATATACATGAACTGATATTAATAAAAAAAATTCGATCGTGACGTATCAAATTTTCATTTATGAGATTAGATTTTATGGATAAATATTTCACGCGTGCGCTTGATCGAAATATTTCAATACATAAAGATTTAACAGAATCCCCTTATTATTATTTTATGAAAAATATCATGAAACATGCTAGCAATAATCTATAACCATAAATTATCACCCATATCCTCCTGTCATTGGGATTCGATGATAAATGGTTTTCCGTGTTATTAATCGTGGATCACCAACTATTCATTTTTCATAATTCGTCGAATGGTTGTTCAGAAATTTGTTAAAACTTCAGAAAGTGTATATACGACAAAAAGAGTTTTGCTATTTAATAATATGTTGTTATTTTTAATTAATTACAATAAATATTATATAACTTACTACATTTAACATAAAATAATAGAAATAAAAATAGATGAAGAAATTATTTATAGATTTTTATTCTTTAATAAAAAATGAAAAATACACTATTAGTTTTTCTTAAAAGAAACACATTTCCTATTTTTCACAGAGATTGTTCTCTAATGTTTTGTATTTTTTTTTTACTTGCCGCTCGTAAATTGCTCTTTGCAGACACTCGTCTATTCTGCCAACCTCGCTTACCGATCGAGATTCGATCTTTCTCCTTCGGGACGCAGAACGTGGCCTCGGAACGCGAAGATAGACCTCGCCCAGAGGTGATGGCACACACCTAGTTTTGATTCACCTCATGGTATCCTGCCGGTCACGGGACTGACGGCGCGTAATTGTTCTCTTGTCTGGTTCTCGCACAGCATCCAACACCCGCCATCCCCGCGATTGCCTTCGCGCCAAGAATGCATAAACAGCCTCTTTTACCAATCCGCAATGCTGTAAGCCTTCGTCCGTTTACTATTTCTGACACTGATCCGTCGTTTCATAAAAACATAAAAACAACAAACAAATCGATAAATAATTGCTTCTTTCATAAATCGCTATTATTCAAATATACTATAAGACGAGATAATCATGCACAAAATCTTGCATAATAAAAAAATAATCAATTAAAGTCCTTCAATTTTTTCTTTTTCATGAAATAAAAGATGATTTTGATTGGTTGATTTTTTTATGCCTTATGCGTTATGCGATACATAAGAATCTACGCTTCCTTTGCCTTAAAGATATGCATTTAGATAAAAGATATCTAAATGATATCTAAATGATATCTAAATGAACATTTTTAAAACGTATTATATTTCGATTTTAGAAATTTAATGTCACATTATATCCAATTTGAGTTATTTTTATAGATCATTAATGTTAATTCCTACTCAATATGTTAATTTAACATGTACAAAATAATGAAATGAAATGAGAGAGAGAGAGAGAGAGAGAGAGAGAATGTTAAATTTAACTCAAATTTAGTTTATTATTTACTAAGTGCATACGTTAATATGAATGTTGTTTATTTTGAAATTAATCATAAAAATGGATTAATTTTATACATTTAGACATAGAAGTTAAAGATAACAAAATATTATTTTTAACTTAAGGGTTTGGGTTACCATTGCTCCCCCCTATGATATCTAACGGTGTAGTTAAAATTAAATTACCTACATTTTAAAGCTTCATCTGACTTTACATTAATAATAAGTTCCACAGGTGAATCAAATCTGTTCCTTCTTTTTTCAATAATTTAAAATTCACAATCTCCTGATCATTACTTCCGTATTTAACATCATTCCCGTCTCTGGAGTTTTATACGCATGAAGTATGGACGTGCGACCCGGCTCAGAAACCAATCAACAACGATCCGGGAAATTGACAAACGATCTCCTTTTTTCCCCCTGTCGCTCGGTATCATTATCGATATCGTTAATGGATTATTAATGATCGGTAGAAATGTCGCGGCTGCTGGCGAATTGAGCTGCCTAGCAGCTGCTCGATTTGCAGACGCATATGTATCGGCCAGGATTCGGCATCATTCGGTCGCATAATTTCCCGCACTGGCAATCATACTGTGCGACGATAATTGGCACACGACCGACAATCGTCGTAATTTCGCGTTCCCGCTGCGCAAATTCTGACGTGTGACACGCGACGGATCGGCGCTCCTGGGAGGCACCTCATTCAATTAGCCACTCAGTTACTCGCATCACATCGCATTTACCCATCAGACTCCCGCTCGGTGAACTCTCTGACGACCCTCGCCGAATCTCCTCGTCTGCGCGCCGTGGGGGCCGCCACGAATTTGGTTTCCCCGCGAATTCGTGATTTAAACTTTTCGCGAATGACGACGCGTGGGGGTATCTTCCTCGGGCGAGACTCACGCAGAGAAGGCAAGGAGGATCTCACGAAGCTGTCATACAGTAAAACGGCTTTAGTTCGTGTGTCAAAACGTTGACGGTTTTGTCTCTCCGCCACACTTCGTCTGTGAAACTTTGTTAGTTTTCCTATCCGCGTGTCTCTTTCAGCGCTTTATCAAGTGCTCGTTAAATCAAGAAATTACTCTCAGCGACTTGCCTTTTCTATCTTGCGGAAAGAAACTAAACAATTTAGTACTATACATTTAGCACTAAACATAAAATATTATTATAGATAAATTTTTTACAATTATTACTATATTTGTTACCGTCTTTCTGCTTCAAGTTTAACTTAAAATTCACAAGTAAAATTTTTCATACAAATACGGATGAATTAATTTTCTGTATTACAAGTTACAGTTCTTTTTAATTACAACATTTCTATGGAGAACGACAAACAACAGCTTTTTTCCTAGGGTCAAAGTAAATGATTGCCCACCTATCGACGAAGGTGGCGGAAGTCGCGCCGTGGAGCCGCAGAAGTTTCTACGAATCCGCGGCTGGTTGCAAACTTGCCGAAGGGTCGAAACCGCCGGCGCCGTGAAATTACTCGACGGGTACCTCCCACGGGGCCGAACTTGTCCGCGACAATTTCAAACTTATTTTAACATTCATATAAGCCCCGTGCCCTCGCCTCGTGTGCGAGCACCCCTGAACCATCGTCTACGCATCCCTTTCGCTGCGTAACCCTAGAAGCGATCCATGTACGACGTTCCTTCCTTGATGTAAAGACGTGCAAGCATAAGGGCGGCTTGGGATTTACATAAGATTATGCGTAAGCTTTCGTATGCCTTGTGGTAAGGGGATCGACGAAATGATGTCGCGGTGAAACAACGCTCCGGGGTATGCTCATCTCGCACTGATAATTATAATAAAGTGGCGTTGTATGACGTACGAGCGATGTGATAAGCGTTATTGTCGGTTCCAATGTAGTACAGGCAATCAGATATGATTTAAGATTTCTTTTATCGGTTTTGCAATGCGTTTTGATTTCAAATCTTGTATAGAAACGGGATATTCGCAGTATCATTATATGTATGAGAGAAAAATTTGATTCAGAATAATTATCTTAGTTTTTGCAATCTTATTATTGTTTTGTTTATTATGTGTTTTTTACATTTTATTTGATTAGTTTTTTATTTATGATTTTGTCATTAGTTGAAATATATTTTTAACACTCACAATGTTTACATATAAGTTTTCCTTAAATTAATACTGATAAATGATATGTAATAATACAATACGCGCTATGTAAAAGTTTATAAAATTAAATTAATATGGAGTAAGTTACAAATTATTAATTTATATAAATAAAACGTGTAAATAATAAATAATTCTTTTTCTATGCATGATATAAAAATCACTTTGTATACGCTAATAGAAATCGATTTTTGTTAGATATACAAACTACTTTATATTTCAATGAGCCAACAAGATTTATTATCACGCATAGCCACTCTTTGCCTTGTGGCGTTGTTAAATCTTACTACCTACCTTGTGATGCGTTTTATATTCATAGTCTGTGCGAAAATTGCTCCTAGAGCACAATAAAGATTATACGAGCCATAAAGTAAATTCAGCCTACCCTGCCGATATTTATTTAAGCGTGAGAGATATGATATGAATTCTTTCTTAATTTTTCTTTGGCCTCATTTTTAGCTTTATTTTATGTTATTGTAATTTATGTTATTGTTCTTCTTTCTTGTTGTAAAAGCTTAAATAAATTTATTTGAGACAAACCGACAGTAGTTAATGCAACATTATATCGTATCGACCGAGTGAGAGATTTCCTCCGCTAGATGTTGATGGCACAGACTGGAATTTTGGAATTCCGAATAAGCCTGCACTCTCATGAAAATACCTAGAACTACACGTTCACCGCGAAACACGGTTAATAAAGAAGATTTCATGGTGGAAGAAACTCAGGAGTGCTTGTTCTCGAGACAAATTTCGCGTAGATAAAAAAAAAGCGGAATTAATTATATTAAATTAATTGTATTATATATTGTAAGCAAATATAATTAAAAATAAAAAAACAAAAATAAGTAAAATAATAATAAAATATAACGCCTTAATTCATAATGACGGCAACATAACAGTATATAGTGTCATGTATTCATTGATTATTAGAAATGTATGTGCAAAAGCATACTTAATTTCCTTTCATGGAAATTCCTTTCTGTGGAAAAATTGTTGGAAACAAATTACAATCGCAATCTCGAATCGCAATAGACATTTTTGGAAAAATTATTTATTGAAATTGCATATACTTCGTGGTCCAACGTAAAAAAAAAACACTTTAAATGTTTAATTAATAAAATTAAAAATTTTTTATTTTCTTTTTTTATATAGAAAAAATGTTGCAACCACGAATGTTGTCCCTCTTTCGACGAGATACATCCGTTTTTATATATGCCTTTTGCAATAACCTTCATACGTCACAAATCAAAATAAATTGAAACGACATAAAAGCTGTGAACCTATATCCGTAGCCGTAGTAAGTATTTTACAATAATCTGCTTTCTTTAGCTCCTTTATATAGAATAAAATAAAAATATTTGCTCAAAGTTATGAATGTAATTTATGCAAAAATATTCGCTTCACATTATTATTATTATAAGTCATTTAAATATCTTGCATTTTAATACTTACTAAATTGACTTGTTTAAAGCATTTTGTACGATATTCTGTTAATCTTTATTTTGTATATATCCGTTTTTGTGAAAGTTATCTATAAGACACAAATTACATTTTTGTTGTAAACTGATTTCAAATATGCATAACGTTATTTCATTTTATAAAATTATTTAATCATCAGGGAGTAAAATATTCGGTATTAGGTAATAATTGTTGTAATTTAGTAATAATTATTTTCGTTTAGTACCCAATTTAAGCGAGTTTAAAATATAGTTGCTCACTTGGGATATAACTATGTCAGGACTATTAAAAACTTTTTCCTTGTATGATTCTGCATATGAGTTAAAAGTGATGTCGGTATTCTATACTTTCGCGGCATGACGTAACGCAACGTTTCATCGGTGCTTACGAGGGAAAACGGTTAAATTTTTTTCTGTTAAAAAAATTACTGCAAGAAAATGTACCGGTAGTCGTTAATCCCGAGCTATTAAATCTTCTTGTAATGATAATACATTTTTATAACGCGAATATAAAAAATGTGTTTATGATATATTTTTTAGCAACGCTCGTTGCTTGCATGCGCGAAAAGAGATATCATATATTTCTATGAATTTATGGCGCCGGTTTTTTTATATATGTATATATTTAATTACAGTATCGTTAAATAGTTTTCAGCGCTTATAATTTTTAGTTAGCTTTTCATGTTTACAATTTTCCAGGAAAAAAAAACAATCACATTTTCTTGTTATGATTAATACTATTTTAAATATAATGAAGTTAAGAAAAAAACTTTAAACGCGCGCGTGCGTCAGTTTTAATTTTTTTAACAAATCTTTTAAACAGTGTGATCAGATCTTTAATAATTAATAATTTTTGACAATACAAATTTTGCTCTTTCAAGATATTATGTGGATGTGGTAGACTTGATGGCACCGAAATTTCAGAAGCTGTATCAACAGCTATACATTTACGGCATAAAAAAATGAAACCATTATTTTATGCTCCGGACGTTGAAATTTGTGGTGTAGTCAATCATCTTACCAGAGAGATGGATACTGAAAGTACTAGAAATGCTCTCGTTGAAGGTGCCAGATTAGCAAGAGCGTGCATAAAACCTCTATGCGAGTGCGAAGCTTGTACACATGGTGCCCTTATTATACCTGGAGGATTTGGCGCTGCACGCACTTTGTATGTGTTGATATGATGTTGTGGAAATAGAAAGTAAAATAGAAAAAAGTAAAATAAGATTATGTTAATAAAAATAATACATGCATAACATGAAAAGCTATTCTTGTATCTTAACCTTAATAAAATAATGAATGTGCATAGATGTTACAAATTTTGAAGGCATAGATTTCGACATTAAGACATAGTGATGAAAAAAAATTTTTACGAAAAAGTACAGAAAACCTAGAAAGGTTGAGACATGATTTTAGAAATTCTTAATTTTTCATAGATATTCGTAATGGAACGTAGAGTGGCGTTGTTTGAGGACAGAGGATTTCTTGGTTTTTCAAACAGTGCCACTCTACGCAGATTCGTAAAAAATTTGTTATCATGGTACTATAATAATTTCTAATTAAAGCAAATTTCTAATTATCTTTATAAAGATAAACTTTTTTTTAATAAAGGAGCGATTTTGCCGAAAAAGGTACCGATTGTACTGTTCTACCCGACTTGGAGAAGCTCATCGAAGATTTTTATTGCGAAAAGAAACCGATTGCTACTATGTGTATAGCTAGTGCACTTGTTGCTAAAGTGTTGAAGGGTGTGAAAGTTACACTTGGCAAGGACTGTAAGTCAGTTCGTTTCATCATTAATATCCTATGTTTTGTAATATTTATGAATTATTTCTTAGCACCTAAAAATGACTGGCCATATGCTGATGCTATCAAGAAGGTTAAGGATATGGGTGCTAAAGTAGAAATGAAAGATGTTAAAGGAGTAACGTTAGACAAGAATTTTGGCGTTCTCAGTACACCAGCCTGGTTATATGAACCAGCTACTTATGCAGATGTTTATGATGGTATTGGTAAACTTGTTACAATGTTAAAAAAATGCATCAATAAGTAATTCATGCAAATGTTTCTAGAAATCACATATATGTACACACGTTACACTTTCATAATTTATTGTTTTATTTATATATTTACGTATTTTATATTTATATATAAGAACAAAAATTTATATTACATTAACTGTATATTATTTTTATAATACAAATACTTTTGTTCCATGCAAGTTGTTTGTAAAAATATTAAAATTATTGTACAGCATAAATACGCTTTTTCGTTAGGAATGTGCAATCTCCGGATCAATTCATTAAAAATAAACTAAAAACAACGCTCTTTATTTAAAAAAAACAACAAAATTTTTTACAAAAAAATCAGTTTAAAATAAACTTTTAGAAGAATCTTTTAGTTAGAAGAATCAATTTTTTGTAAAATAATTAATTTAAAATCGCTAGTTTGGAAAAATCGATTTTTTGGAGATCGGAACATTCCTACTTTTTGAATTAATTTTTTGTAGGATTATGGGACAGGAACGATATTTTTGAAAGAAATATATTTTATTTTATTTTTTTATCTCGCCCTTTTGAAATAAAGTAAATGGGGCGCGCACATTTTGAACGTTAAAGTAAGTCAATAAATCTAATAATACAATTAAAATAATCAACAACAAGTGAAACAACAATAAATCGAGATTTGCGGCAAAAATTTTTCATCGATTTAGAATTGCCTTTTTATTTTTCTTTTGTTAGATAACATGGCAGTCTTCGCCGTGAATTCATCTAGGGTGAAAGTCGTTCTGGAATTCTACGGAAATTCTGGCACGACCTCTCCAATACTCTTTATTTCATAATCATTGCAATTGGCAAGAAATGCGTTTAGAGATTTTCTTATCAAATAACAATTTCATCATAAATTTTGAACCTAAACAGTATGGAGAAAAATAATTAATGTATTTTTATAATCAATACAAAATGAGCAGTCTTTATTAGTTTGCTGAATATATGTATATGTGGATTTTTTAAAGTATAGCCAATTAAAATTAATTTTTCTGATGCACGCAAAGCCACGCGTATTTTGTGTAACATTTCACATAAAAATGTGATGGCAACCCGTTTCTGCTTTAGCTAAAACATTAAAATATAGAAGAGCACATTAAAATAATTTATTTCTAATAATACCGAAGTTTTTTGTAAATCTATTCAACGCTGTCAAAATTTTGTTGCGTATATTTTCGTAGGTCTACGTCTTTTCGTTTCTTATTTTTACATTTTTAATATCCAGATTGAAAACTATGGTTTTTTTCACTACGTTTTTTCGTTTCTTATTTTTACACTTTTAACATCTAGAATATAAACTATGGTACGTTTGAAAGAAAGAAGAATAACGAATGTAAATGTAAAAATTGTATCTAAGAAAAAGATCTTATGCATATTCTAGAAGTATATCCTGTACGCTTACGCGTTTTGCATAGTTATAGGATAACGAGGCTCCGTGCACGATGGTTTTAGTTCGAACGCAAGTGTCGTTGGTAAGAGTTACCGATTCCGGAATCGACTTACTCGAGCGTAACGTTCACGTACGAGCAAGTGAATTCAATCAACGTAAAAGGTCTCTGTGAATAATCGTTGCTAGTTAGCTTTGCAAGCGCCTTGCCGAAACGGGACAGTTTCTCCAGAAGGTGTTTGTATGACCGGCGGAACATATATAGCACCACATGGAATTTCTTAATCGACGCACTGTAGACCCGAAAAATCTTATATTTAAGATCCTTCAACTCATGCAGTTACTAGCTTAGGAAATAATTTAAACGTTAAGACCACGTGCGTTTTAGATCTAACGATTGGTCAATAAACAGGAACGGCAGTGCCTTATATTCTTAATGCTATTATCTTAAGATCTATTAATTAATCCAAATTTTCGCATCGCTCAGGAAATGATATGGAAGTTTTGTACAGTATTAAATTTACCTTCCGGAGTTGACGAAATCTGTCCAAAATCTGTAACACAGTCACTGATACTGAGTCTGTAAGATTCATCTAATATATGTTGATTAAAAGCATTAATTAATTTGAAGAAACCAATAAAAATGATGTAACTTGTATATAAAAAAAATGAATACTGTATTTATTTTGATAATAATGATAAATTTGCAGATGTAATATAAAGAATATAATTGAGTGGGTCTAACAGATTCACGTCAGCTCCGGAAGATTAAAACAATAAACAAATGTTTTCGCTTATCCCTGTATCGATACAGAATGTCGTCGGAATTCCAATAATAGGAATTATTATAGAATAGAATTGTATATACCGTCTAACCGGCAACGCGTCGCGCGTTAATTTCAAAATACGATTCTCCAGTCGCCAGCTTTTCGGTTTGATCGAAAAGTTCGTATGCGCGCACAGTACCTCCGCACATGAACAAAGATGCGAACTTTCTATGTTCCTGTTACACGTTTCAGTACATTCTCCTCTAATAATAAAAAAATGACGCTTTTCAGACTTTGGTTCTGATCTCGAGGCCAAATTCCGCGTTTGGAAGAAATCCCGAGGTTTTGCGTCCATATTAACATACACTTTAGCGATATTTATTTACGCTCAGCTGAGAGCGAGTAGCGGTTCAACGGACATGCGAGATCTTCTGGCTTTGTGCTCCTCATACTGTTTCATCTTCATAAGCTTCACTTTGCCCTTGCTCTGCTTTTTCCTCGGTATTTCCGTGGACACTTCTTCCTCGTTAGATCGCTCCTCTTCTTCCAACATTCTGAGAGTCTCGATGATATTCCTCGGTTCCGTGACACGTCCAGTCGAACTGCCGTTCTTGTTAGCGTATACTACAGAAAGATGTGAGAAACTGGACTTTGGCGGTGCCGTAATATCAGCAAAATCGCGGAAGTTTGCGAAGAAGTCACCGCCCCGAATTGGCTGCGGTTTTGGGTTTCTATAATACTGCGCACGAGCACGATTATGATAGTATGGATTGTAAAGACTTTCGTCTATCGCGTATTCGTCGTTCTCTTTATCCTCCGGATAATAAGTACCTCCGCGGATCACGCCGAAGTTACCTGACCCTAGTATAGAGTGTTGATCCTTAGTCGCGGCGGTCTGATAATTACGATCGCGTTGGAAATAGCCTAGGAATCTGTTAGGACGATATCGCTGCTGCTGTTCCGCAAATGAAAGTCTGTGATTTCCAAAGAGTTCCGCAAAGGTCGGGAAGAAATTTTGACTTTCGGTTTCTAAACCTCTGCCCGCATCGGTAAACTGTGTAGTGCCGGTATGATCCGTATTCTTTGCCTCTTGATCTTTAGAAGTTTCGGGGTTCTCAACTTCGGATGATTTCTCCTTACTCTTATCGGTAGTATCGGTTAATGTCTCGTTTTGATTAGTCTTTTGTGAGCTTTCCTCTGTGCGATCTGGTGGCGAAGTCGTTCCGGATTCATCCGGCTCCATATACATGTCGGAATCGTCATATTCTTCGCCTATCTCTGACGCCGAAGCCACAGAGTCCTAAAATACAGAAAAAAGTTTCCCCTCAATTATACAGGAAATTAATGTTGTCTTTCAAATAATAAACATCAATGCGATCGAGAGAAAGTCCACACACATGCAATCAATACACGAACAGAAAAATGTTTTATAAATCACTAAAATATACTCTTCTAAATTCAACAGCTTGTCATTCATGAACTTTCTTCGCTCTTTCAAATGTCTTGTTACGTATCGAAAATCCGTGTAATGAGCGAAACAGCCGGTCAACTTTAACATCAGGAAATTAATTTTAAATCAACCGTCACGAATTATCTACTATTATCAATAACCGTTCATGATACGAACATGAAGAATATTAAATTTTCTATTATGTAATAGTATTTTAATTGTTTCAAAGTAATGTTTTTACAAATGATAGCTTTTAACATTAATTCAATTACGTAATAATAGTGAATTACGCGTTACGGAAATTAAACAAAGAAAGAGAGATTCTAAATTAAAATTTGCTTTCTTTATCACTTTCATATAGCGTTGAATACAGCATTTTTCTAATTCGAAAAAATGTTCTAAATAAATAGAATAAATATATATATACACACACACACACACACACACACACACACACACACGGAAAGAACGATTTTCAAATAAAATCTAAAAATTTAGCTAAATACAGATTTTAAAATAATTTTGTTAAATTATAAAAATAATTATGTAGGATGCTCAAGCTGATTACTAGAGTATTAAAGTTCCTTGCTCATTATATTTGAATTCCCTATATAATTATTTCGATGGTTCAACAAAATTATTTTCAGGTCAGCATCTATCAAACGTTAGATGTGAAAAGTTGTTTATTTTGTATATTACCATTATATACCGGAACTATCACTTTCTATGACATTCTTGGAATTATTTCGTAGTATCTATAAAGCAGTGGAGGCTGCAGTGATTAGAGATTATTCAAGCTTGACAGGAAAGGTTTTCAATGAATGCGAGATTCCCTTTCGCGGAGTGCATCAGCCGAGCGTGCAGGCCAAAGAGAGACGGCCTGTGTGTTCAAGCAATCCACCGTGTCCTCGCCTTGACATTTAAGGCATCTTCGTGCCAGCGACCGTCTGTGCAAGACCATAAGTACGTCATGATTCGTTAATATAACATCTACATATACCGTTCCACAATAGTATGTTCCGATTATGTACGGTACACGCGTATGCTTATGCGTCGCGATCGACGGTAACGCGAACAAAATGCATAGACGGTCATTGAAATCAGTTGCAACACATCGGCGACACGCCTAGCATTGTTATGTATATGTCAGGTCAGCATAACTGTATCTGCCTTCTCGATGTTATAATACCTCGCTGGTTGAATCTATTTTAATGCCTAAGGATGGGATAGTTCAAGAGTGGATTACATCCATAAAAGTTAGGATTCGAATGGGGAAGTTAAATGGGAGAATACATCGATTGTCAACATCAAGAGGACGAAATTCATTTTTTATAGTTGATTAGTGGGGATTATAAATGAGTCAAAATCAATATTTATAAAATCAGAGTATTCATAACTTCA